TCCTTTCCCATCCATATTGTCAGGCCTGGCTCAGGGCAGAAGGCCTCCTACTGCGCAGGGAGGGTCCCCGGAAGGCTGCAAGGAAAAGATAGATTCCTTGGGGTCTTCAGACGCAATGGCAGTCTCCTCTTTAATATCACCAACCAGTGGCATGATTCTCCCCATTTTGAGGAGAGGCAAGGGTACCTGGAAGGGCAGGAGCTCAGGCGCATCCCGTGTGTAGCTGACCAGAGCTGCAGTCTTCCTGACAGGCCTCTACGAGGTACAAAGCTGGAAGGTGAGGCGGAGAGCAGTTGGGAAATAGGAGTTTATCAATCTCTTAATAAGTTCCGTCTGGCCTAAGGCCCTACCCAATATTGCACCGCTGCATTTCACAATGTTTGGAGTTCTTCAGGTCTTCACACAAATGGAGCACAAACATCCAAGATTTTCTGCCTCTAACCCCACTTTAGTGCGGATGTGGATGCGTCTTCCAGGGAAGACTGCAGGTGCTCAGGCTCTTTCTCTGAAAGAAGTTGTAGGGTTGACACCCCTGAGGTTGCATTTCCAGTTCTTTGGGGAGGGTCGCTTGCCTCCAGGAAAACCTTCCTCAGGTTAGAGCGGGTGAACTGTGTTGGTGGGCATATAGATTGCTGAAATCTGTGTGAACAACTAGGTTGAGGGAGGCTTTAATGACGACCTGGCTCCGTCTGAAATTTTAGGCCTGAGTTCAGGAGTCTCTTCTGGGATAGCCATGCCCTCTTGCTGGTTCCCACAACCTTTTCCACATTTCCCTCTGAAATGGTAACCTCACCACAGCTTTGGTTCAGGCTGATGGGAGGAGACAGCACATAGATTAGATTCATCCAGGGCAATGGGAGGCTGGGCATCCACCGTTCTTTTTGCTTGAATCATGTTCCAGAATTGGCAATTTGGAAATCACCCTTTGCCCAGTTCATACCTCTTTTTCACCATCTTGTGAACTTAGCACTATATGTGCCCAGAGGTTTGGCTGACTTTCTAAAACAACAGAAAACAAATGAAGGCAATTAAGTGATCCAAAATAAAGGGAGACAAAGCCCATTAACACTTTCTTAAGTGACTCTTGCAATGTGTCACTCTTTGGACCATGCATAAGGACTTTAAATTCCAGTCCCTTGCTGCCCTGTTTTGGACTCCTATACCATTTTTAAATTAGTTTCGAGACAGGGTATCAACATGTAGCCCTGGCTGGCCTTGAACTCAAAGAGATTCGCCTGTCTTTGCCTCCCAAGTGTGGGATTAAAGACTTGTGTAGCTGTGCCCGGCTAACATTTTTTTTGTAAATCCGTGCTGGTTAGATAAGACCTCTGAGTATTGGTTACAAGATGACCCCGGAAGAAGGGCCTT